GCAACAAAGAGGAAGTCCTAAGGCAGCCCCTGTTCTGCAATCCTTGGATCAAAGACGCAAAGGGCAAACCGTGGACTCTCCGGGATAAAGATCGGAGATGGCTGTCCTGGGTGGAAAGAGGAGTGTGTCAGGTTAAACATCTATGGTCCGAGGAGCGACAAGATTGGCTATCTGACCAAGACCTCCGAACTCCCTTGAGAGGCTGTCATTCCATAAGTACCAACGTAGCAGAAACCCACCAAAGCATCTCTCCCCTATGGACGTCTCTGCTAAGAGAGAAACACACGTGGAAACCAGGAGATCGGGGCCTACTCATCTCCCAGACCCCCCCATCAAGAGTCTACCGTTTCGTCTCTAGGTCAGATCCAGCCAGCTACCAAGCCAACTTCATATCTTACCCGATTGCGAAACACAGCATGTACGAACTAAGTTCAAAACATTACACCTCAGAACAGACGAATAGAAACCTTCCTGCTTAGGAAGGTCAGAGTCTCTCACAATAAACCGTGGACCATTCTCCAGCCACAACTCGGTATCGAGGAGCTCGAATTCGACCCAAAAGAGTGGACTTGGGAACAAAGCACCACCGGGAAGTCAAGAACAATAACAGAATATGATGTGAAATTCGGTTACGACCTTGGACTGCAGACCACTGATCCGAACCCCAGGCTGCTGGAGAAATGGCGAAACATCCTGCATCTCGACCCCTCTCACCATCCCATGATCAAATATCTCCTCATCAGACCAGTCAGAATCCGTAGCATGCAGTGGCTCATAGCACATGCAGCCCTCCCTGTCAGCCAATGGCTACACGAGAGAAGGAAACACTCAGACCCAAACAGCTCGGAATTATGCGCACAGTGCAATAATAACAAACCTGAAGACATCCCTCACTGCCTTCTCGTCTACGTGGAAGCGGCCTGGATCTTGAACAAGGTTCTGGAACTATGGCCAATCCTCTTCTCAACACCACCTCCCAACGGGCCCCCTCTAACTGCCCTACTCTTCGTCAACACCCCAAGGAACATCAAGGGCAGCAGGGAAGTCTGGTTCAATCTACTCAGAAAACTGGCCCTCTGGGTCATACTCATCCTTCGAGGCTCTCACTCATGCAATGCTTGCTTTCCAGCTCGCATCCGAAATGAGAATAACTTGGCCCAAGACCGGTTAACACCCCAGCTATGGAGAAGGAGAAAAGCACTATGGAGAAGGAGAAGACCAGAGACCGGTTAACACCCCGGAAGGAATGCAGTGGTCAACAGTAGAGGAACCACTACGTTATTTGGGAATTAGGTTAGCAGAAGCAGGGCCCCACTACTCAATGGCTCCAAATATTTTAGCAAAAATTCTGATGAAGCTAAGTGCTTGGGCAGCAATTTATACTTCCTTGTTTGGAAGAGCATTAATCCTAAACGCCTCCATTTTTTCGATGTTGTGGTATGTAGGTTCGATTTGGACACCGCCAGATCAGTCAATTAGTGAGTTAAGAAGAAGGTCAGCAACTTTCCTATGGACAGCAAACCCAAGTAAACAGAATGTCATATCTAAGGTAGCATGGAAGCATGTAATCGAGTCAAAAGAGCAAGGGGGATTGGGCATATTAGACAGGGGACAGCAGATGAAGGCCTTACAAACGAAGTGGGTTTTGAAGCTTATCACCCATCCTCAGCTACCTTGGGCTTCTCTCTCATTAGAACACATCAGAAGACTGGTTAAGTACACAACACCGGTCAACATGACAGGGCTGTTTTGGGTGATGAGCAAAGGCTGGGCAAGGAAGAGTAAGAGTGAAGGCAAACGGACACCTGGGGCAACGGACAAGAGTGATCGCTCTTACTGGGCACAACTCCTCAAGCTCCAGGGGGACATTTTCCCAGCAAGAGTAAGAGAACCTAGGAACAGAGAGGAAGTTCTCCGTCAACCACTTTTCTGCAATCCTTGGATTAAGGATCATCAGGGGAAGCTGCGTACCCTGACAGCAAGAGATTCTAAATGGGGAACATGGGTGGAACATGGAGTCTGGCAGGTTAGACATTTATGGTCAGACGACAAGCAGCGATGGAAGATGGCAAGAGATCTTCGGAACGAGATGAAGGGTATCCACAAATTGCTAGAGAATCTGAATGATGTTCTTATCTCCATACCACCAGTATGGGCAAACCTGCTAGAAAAGGGGTCGAATTGGGTAAACGGTGACTGGGCCACGTGGTTGAATGAGGACAAACCGGAAGTTGCATTTAGAATAAGGGGTAAGACGGGCCCAGGGGATGAATGGTTGTTGGCTGATATGTTATCAATAGAAGAAGTAGGGACTACCATCAGTCAATTGGATAAGACATCTATCTCCCCGATTACAATCTTAAAAAAAGCAGTACGTAAGGTCAGAGTGGTGGAGACAGACAACTATATGATTTATGCTCCAACTACGGCTCTAGAAGATTTAGAAGTAGAGCCGGCAGAATGGGCATGGAATCTCAAGGGAGGTTTTCTGAGGGTTGCCAGAAGAGTAAACATACTTCACTATACAACCAAATTGGGGTACAGGCTCAGAAGGAGGTCTCACCCACTGACAGAAACACTGGCTAATCGGTGGGAACGGAGGTTGGAAGTACCCAAGGCGCAAGTCTCTTGTCTTCCGTGGTCAGCATTGAGTAGTATACGGTTAGGCAGGGTCAAAAGTTTACAATGGCTGATTTTCCACGTAGCGCTCCCGGTCAACGTTTGGCTGTATGAGTGTCGTGGCCACAATCAGAGAGATCAGATCAACCAGAAGTGCAATCTCTGTACTGATGAAGAGACGGAAACCCTGCTTCACTGCCTGCTGCAATGCCCAGAGGCGGTCTACGTGTGGGAAGTAGCGAGGGAACTGTGGCGAAAGATTTCAGATGAGGTATTTCCGGAAGACAGGAGGATCCTCCTCACCGGTATGGAACTTCCAAAGAATTGGCAATTGGGACAAAAAAGAGGATTTCAACTATTGAGACAATATACATTATGGACCATATGGAAAAGAAGATGTCAGATGATGATAGGAAGGGGGCAAATGCACAGACTGGAGGCCAAGAAAGTTCTACACAACCTGTTGGAGACGGATATCACGGCCCGATGGCACAGAGCAAGAAGGCAAGCCCAACAAAACCCGGAAAAAGCCCGGGAGACATTCAAAACGTTTCAAAGGGTTACGTTGGTAAAGGGTAAGATAGCAACAATTGAAGGATCCAGAGTAGTCTTCCACTGGTTTGAGAATACGGAGCAACGTGAGCAAGAATAGTGCGTTAGATTCGTTGACGTAGTACATCAACATTATGACAGCATCACAGCTTAGGTTTAGGGTTCAGGGTTTAAGGTGTAGGCAGGAGCAATGCAAACAGGGATTAGGGTGTCAGACATTTCAGGAGGGGTCCGGGGCGACTCTAGTTAAAACACGATTATCTGGCAGTTCATTACTGTGAGGAGTCCAACTGGGATCACAGGGATGGTGAAAGGAGTAAAAACTCAGGCTTACTTAACCAGGGGTGAGGGATGGTACATCCTTCCTTACGGAAGTAATCAATGCCTCCCAGCCATAATGGGAGGAGTGTGCGTGATTTTCTTCTGTATCTATTATTGACTTGCCGGTGGAAAAGGAACCGGAATGTCGCTCCACAGAATGGTAGGAGCCAGAACCCAAAGGTTCTGTTAAAAAAAAAGAAAAAAAAAAGGAAACGCAGATGCACACAGACAATCGAGGGAACAGAGGTGGCAAGAGAGGAAATGTGGACCCTTCAGCTAAACATGGCAGAGACCGAGATCCGGAGATGGCGAAAGATATCTTCATCCAAGCATCGCAGACCAGAAAAGCACGCAGCCAGAGACCGAGATCCTGAAGGACTGGTTGGCAAGAGGCAAGGTCGCTACCATAATGGACAACAGACTGGTATGGAAAAAGTGGCATCAGGCTTAGCTGTTAAGCAACGGAACACCACGACGTCCAAGAAGGAGGAACTGCACGACGAGCATGAGCAGCCTGGTGAGCAGGGGTTGGGAGGGACATACGAGTTCAAATGGAAGCTGTACCTCTCACTGTTCTTGTTTTGCAGATGTCTATTTGACACGCCCTGATTTGTAGCCTGAGAGGATCAAGTGGGCACTGGGTAGTGCAAGCTGACAGTCAATCCTCCGCACGGGAGTAGTCAACGCTGGTCAGGGATCCTTTGGCCAAAAGGAAGGAAGCGTGAGTGTTAAACAAAAACAAAAAACTAAAAATCTTCTAAATTCTAATTTAGTTTCAGTGCCCTGCCAACGAGGCAGGGCGCTTTCCATGGACAGCTGACACTTGCACCCGAGTGTGCTCTCTCACATGTACTCGAGATTCTGTATTTAGCTTCTTTACGTCCACAGAGTTGTTGCTTTTTTTTTTTTCTTCTTCTTTCTTTTTTCTCCTACTGTCATGTTTTGCTGAAGGCTATACCGCCTGTTGGGAGCGCATATTCTCACATGTACCCAATGTTCTGTATCTAGCTGCTTTCACGTTCCAAAAAAAAAAAAACCATCCAGATGTGCACACATGCCATGCAGGACACAACAAATTTGAACAAAGTCTATTTATTATTATTATTTTCACAACAAACTTATCTAGTATTTAGTCTTAATAAAAAAAAGGGGTAACTTCAGTAGAGTCACAAAAACGAGTTATAACTGCACTATGGGGCGAGATACAGTTTGCAATTGCACTTCTGGCACCAACCTGGCCAGAAAGCTGGGTTGTATACATTGCCTGACAGCAATTCGAAACTGTATCTCGGCCCATAGGCCCCATACTGCAATTACTGGGTAGGATGCCCTAAGTGCAATTGCAAACTGTATCTTGCCCCATAGTGCAGTTATAACTCATTTTAGCGACTCCCGCGTAGTTTCCCCTATAAAAAAAATATAGTAAATACTAAATACTCTAACCTTGCAAGTTCAGAATAAGGGTTTCAGAAGTGGAAATGATGCTTGCTGGGGAATGTAAAGAGTCGGTAATGTGGGCATTGTTATCATAAGCGAATGTCCAAAGGGAAGTGATTATCCTCTAACCTTCTCCTGAAGAGGATCTTCCATTCGTCTCTTCCCGCAACCAAGACTGAAATCTTGAGTTGTCTATCATCTGGTGTTCCAACCTCGTCTCGATTTCTGCATCCGCCCTGGATAAGGAGGTGAAAGGCCAGGAAATAGCCCTTCTTCCCCTGCCGGTTCTCCTCCTCTTCCTCCTAGTTTCCGCTGAAGGTGAACTGTCTTTCATCAACTGTTCTGTGTGAAATACCTCAGATTGGAACATATCACTGGGATCCGTGCCTACGGCCTTTCCTGCAAATGATGGTATTCCTGTTGTATGAGCTTCGGCCAGGCCTCCAGCTGCAGCAAATCCTTCTCCAACATGTACAATATCCTCATTCTTCTGCTTCAATGGCTCTTCCACTGCTACCGCCGTTGTCATCACGGTCCCTGTAACTTTCACCAGATCAGCCTGTGTTCTTTCCTCCATGCCAGTGTCATCACCATCCTCTCTCTGATACTTCTGAATTGGCAATTGGCGATCGGAGTCACCCGTACCACAAACCCGAGAACGGTCTCTCATGCTCTTTTCTTGCAGCGGTTTTGGAGGCTTGCTATCAACCCCTTTTCCTGTGCTAGCATGCTCAACGTGACCGGAAACCAATCCCTGGCAATTCTCCTCCTCCTCCTCCTCCTCCTCCTCCTCCTCCTCCTCCTCCTGCTTGTCATCTATTTTAATTGGTCGTTGAGACGAAGAGTCGCCCTTTTGCTCGCTGCTTGAGAAACCCTTCCCTGCGCTCCCATCCTCATTTGAATGCCGGTGTGTTTTGGTGCTCCCCTCCTCTTTTTGATCACAACAACGGGGGATCGTTTCACCGCCTTTTCTCGGCTCCCTCCTTTCCGTAGACGACTTTTCCTCCACCACAAGTGCATACTGGCAAGCCACTACATCGCTTGGTGGATCATCGCTGCTATGCAGCACACTCTGCTTCCTCAATGATTCGCTGCTATGCAGCGCACTCTGCTTCCTCAATGATTCCAATGCCTTATCCAGTTCCTCTTCACTGACAGCCTTCTGGTGTTCGGGTTTGTTCATCTCAGCTCCCCGTTGACCTGTATTGTCCAACTTCCACTGACGAGGAGGAGAGCAACATGGAAGCAAGCCACCTGAGTCATCGCTGCCTGACCAATAACCAGGGAGTCCATCACCATCGTCCTGGTCCTCATTTGTATTCTCTGCGCTTCCCCTTGCATGAAGTTCTGAAGTACCGGCGACATTCAAAACATTGTAATCGGTCTTCTCAACATCATGGCCAAGGTTTGTGTCACCATAATTGATTGTTTGCATGCTACAATCCAGGTTGATGATGTCACAGTCGATGTTCCGCATACTAGCAATAAGGCTCATCTCGGCACCATAAACGCTCTTTTGCATGCTATTGTCGTCTTTTCGACGTGTTTCCCTTTGCCGTCCTCTGTCACCTTTCTCAGAACATTCTACGTCAGTCCCATCCCACTTACTGGAGAGGCAAGCAGTTACTAATTCTGTCTTATGTGAAGTCCCCTGGATTTCCCTTCTTGCAGGAGTTCCTAGAGGGGACCAGGAATGTATATCCAGGTCAAGCTGTTTGCTAATCCTGTTCTCAGTGTCCAGCTCGCAGTCGATCTCAAGGGTGGGATACTTCACCAGCTTATGACAAGTAGTACCCGATACATCTGGAGAGAACTGAGCTGCCACCAAGGCCCTGAAGTCCACACTTGGTTCAGCGTCAGAGCGATTGCCCGCCGCTCCTCTTTCCCTCGCCTTTACCCTTGTCAAATTTGAATCCAATGAACTTCCTGATGGCCATTCTAATGACAGCAACACGTCAGGGAAAGGAGCGTGTCGAGTAGGGGGGCTGCTACGATGATCTCTTCCATAGAACATAACCCCTGGTCTGGCATGGTCATCTGAAGAGTGGGGCAGACAAGAGGCAGGACAATCATCAAGCTCTACTCCGTGTATATCGTCACGTATGTCGTCCAAATAGTGTGGCAAAATGGAGGCAGGAAAATCACCAAGCTCTGTGCCGCGTTTATCCCCTGGTCTGGCTTTGTCATCCAAAGAGCGTGGCAGACAAGAGGGAGGAAAACCATCAAGCTCTACTCCTTGCTTATCGTCTCGTACACCGTCCGAACAGCATGGCAAAACAGACGCAGGAAAATCATCAAGCTGTACTACGCGTTTATCGCCACATATGTCTGCAGCACTTTTCCATTGAGGCAAATTCTGCTCTCGTCCTAGTTCTTCCCAGTCACCGGAGAAGCTGAGTCTTTCACGATCGACTGAGACACCTAGTTTTTCTTGCCTTCCTCCAGTTAGGTCTGTGAGCAGATCCAAGTCTCCTGCTTTCTTCTCTTTGATAATGTCAAAAAAATCAGGCTCAGGTTCCCATCCCTTTGCTTTGCCAAGGCTGCCAGATGTGACTGGGTCCTTTTTTACCTTGGCCTCATGGGCATCATCACTCAGATCTGATACACTGGGTAAAGGGAATGTATCATCATCTATGATGTCTAACAACGGCCTTGAAAGTCGTCTGCTGTTGGAAGTGCCTCCCCGTTTCTTGTTCGGAGTCAAAAGGGCAGTCCCCTGACCATCTACAGGGAACAATGCCTTAAACCCTCCTTGGCTTCCCAGATGTCTACTACGATTGGCAACGGATTTTCGCGTCGGAGAGGTTAGTGCAAACTCGCCCAACGACTTGAAAGTTGAAGGAGCCAGACAATCCCTCTCCTCGAGTTCATTCTCACACGAGCTGAAATCCGCACTTTTCCCAAACACATCCTCCTCTTCATTCGAATCTGGACTGCGATTTACGACTGGATTCAGTTTTGAGATATCCTCACCATCATGAACCTTGGGCAGCGTCCATTTCTTCTTCTTCTGCGCAAGCCACCGACTGCATCTAGGACTACTGAGAAGAGGGTCTGCGGATGATGGCAGGTCATTCTCCTTATCGACAACTACTAGGCCAGCAGTCTTTTTGTGCAACATCAACTCTGAGCTACCAGTGGGCTTGATTTTCTCTGCTGTTCTCCTGCACTTCAGGCTTGCTGGTTCATCATCGCTGAGCAAATCTTTCTCCTCCATTCCGAGGCCGATGTCGAAAGTAGAGTTTCCATCCTTAGGATCGGGTTGGCGGCTTCGCATGCCATACACCGGCATCCCTCCAATAGCTTCGTCCATTTCATGAGGTCCTGTACCGCCTTCGAGTCTTCCATCGCTCTTAACGCCAGAAGTTGCGGCACGTTCAGTGGCCGATTCCTTTGCGTGATCGGCAGCATCTCTCAAGGCTTTCTGAACTAGGTAACTTGGCTTGTAGTTTGGGTCAACAAGCTGCCATGGCTTCCTAGAGCGTTTTTTCACTGGTGGAGTGGACTCTGCTAGACCTCCAGTGTCAGCTGAAGCACACTGATTCCCAGCATCATCTGGCACAGTGAAATTTTGAAAATTGGTTAGGAGGCGAAACGTGAAATTGTGGTACTTATGCACAACACTCTGCATGACCAAGTTGCCCATACGGTAAACCACGAGTACCTCCAAGCCTCCTTTTGCCGAGGAGGATTTGTACTGGAGCTGCCAGCCAAAGAGGCCCACCAGACCACTCTGCCCGAACCCCTCAAGAACCCATAATTTTGCATTTTCAATTCTGAAGTTTGCCTCGGCAAGTTACTGGTGGTTTAAAGGCAGTGCATAACATACAATGGAGGGTCAAGAAGTCGGAGGCACTGAACAGTAAACGATTTTTGCAATAGGGAAAGGAAAAAGGTATCCCTGCACAGAAACCTATCATCTCATCTATGACTACAACCCTAAAATGTTGCACAACAGAGCCATACAACTGATTATAGGGTTTCAAATTGTATAAAACAACAACAACAACAACAACAACAACAACAACAACAACAACTGTACAGCAACAACAACAACAACAACAACAACACAAGCCCCTTCTATTCTGGGGGGGCATCAGTCCGGTTGCTCATCACTGGCAAGGAGGAAAAGGAGGACAAGTCCTGACAGAAAAGGAGAGTCAGCCCCTCAGACGCCCGCCGCCTGAGATTTTTCGTGGTGGTGTACTTTTATGTTTGTTTTCACTCAAAGTGCGTCCCACAAACTGGATTTATCATCCAGGAGTCGAAAGGTAATGCTTTGATCCCCACCTTGCACGGCACAAATCATACCCATCTCAAACCAAATTGCACACACACGAAGCACACGTGAGACATGAACTCAAAGATAGTCTCCGCCAATCGATTCGAACAAAATTCTCTTTGTACGCACATAGTAGCTATGGCTGCCAGCAAGTTCATGTCACCCTCAGGTGTGGTCTCTCTCTCTTGCTCTGCCTCTACTCTCAGCCTCACGCTCTCTCTGAATACCTCCCGATGTCTTTCTCTCCCTCTCTCCTACCTCACCTAGCTACAGCTATAGCGCCAGTCACCAGCGACTACTTCGTGCACCAGCGTACAGCAAGATAGCAACACAGCCCAAAATAGTGCAGAAGCGCTTCCGCTCAGTCATACAAGTTTATAAATGGGTGGCAGAGGCTGACTCAGCCACCCGCTGGTGCACAGGGCCACGATCAAAGCAGTATATCTCCCATGCCGGCCCATCACGACACGTTCTATGCTGGAGCGGCAGACCATGCTGCCCTGCTGCTGCCCGATAGAGGAGAGTGAGTGCTCGGAAAGACAGCCATCACTAGAGGTAGTGGGTGGCAACTATCACTACTGTCTTCCACCATATAGAATGCACGGTCATTATAGCTGCATTTGGGGCAACTTTCAGTCCACATACAGCAATAACGACTGGGCACTGGGCAGTCTATTCGGGTGAAGACGATAGTTGAGGTGAGAGAGAGAGAGAGAGAGAGAGAGAGAGAGAGAGAGAGAGAGAGAGAGAGAGAGAGAGAGAGAGAGAGAGAGAGAGAGAGAGAGAGAGANAGAGAGAGAGAGAGAGAGAGAGAGAGAGAGAGAGAGAGAGAGAGAGAGAGAGAGAGACACTGAGTGTGCAGCAAGCTTACCTTGTGATTGATGGCCATAGGAGCATTGAAGAAGAAAACTCCAACACTGCCGTCTTCACCCAAATAGAATGACCGGTCATTATACCTGCATTTGGCACAACTTTCAGTCGGATGCAGCGGAAATTACCGGGCGTTTTATTCGGGTGAAGACGATAGCATTCTTCGATCGAGACTTCATTCTTCTGGTGCTGGCCCTCTATCAGGTCTGGTGAGAGCATTCTTCTATCGACAAAATAGGTTCAGGGGCAGTGGTTGTCTCAAATTAATGCGTGGAGAAAACCAAACAAATCCGACAAAATAGTTTCAGGGGCAGCTGTGGTCTTGATTTTTTTTTTTTTTTTTTTTAATTTAAACAGGCCCTTATGGTCCATGTTGGAGACGACCACAAGAACTCTCAGGAATGTAAGACACACAAGAGTTATTGTCCATCACAGAAGTGGAGATGCTCCGCTTGACATTGACTACAGCAGCATGTCTCAGACTCAGATAAGAGGTTCAGGCAATATGAGCTTTGCGGGGTACAAGAGCTTGGAATGCACACCTTGAGATGCTATGTTTTCCTCGTTGATGCATGGAGGACCTCTGCTCCATACCTTGCTCAACGCATCGTCCAAAAAGGCAAGGACCTCATGCCAATCCTGAAAGAATTGCCGGAACACCCATTTTCCACTCTCAGGAGGGAAATTCCAAACCAGACAACACATATGTGAATCACTTGTGTGCCAAAATCAATGCGATCATGGATATTGGTGCAAACCGTACGACGCATGGGTAAATCACATGAACACAACATATGAATGTGCTGTGCACAACTCAGACTTCACGTGTGCACTGGATGTGGCGTGCACACCCAAAAAGTTTCAAGAAAACCGAATAAAAAAACTTATCCGACAAAGGAAGCATGCGTGATACAGTGCAAAATAATCCAAGCAGCCTTCAGATCGAGCAGCACGTTGAAACTGACGATGGCCTCGGACAGTGTACTCTCACAAAACATCACAAAGCCGACACACCGTACCAGCTGCTGACATAAAAGTTGAAAAACGTTTTTTCAAAAAACTGCATACTCATGTTCTACTGATTCTGATGTCAAGAAACGACATCGCCATTTATAAGATGGAATTGAAAGGAAACTTATAAACCAAGAGTCCGTCTGAGCCTCTTTTACCCTGAGCGGATTCTTGCGTCCCACCCAAGTCCTGCTGAACTGGCGTGGAGCGCGATTTGCCTGGCACCACTTACCTTGAGACTGTAGCCGACCGCGTACACCTGATGCACATAGACAGGATTATACACCAGGTTCTTTCATGATCTGGCACCATCATAGATCGCCTTGAATGGTCCAAGGACTCCTAACTTCTAAGCTTAATATCCCTGGCGCAGCCTTTAGGTCATTCTGGCCATCGAATCATCTTCAACCTCCCTTGATGGCCCACCTTGTATCTAACCTGACCCGGCTCCCGTTGCCCTAAGTATTCAAGGTGGCCCTTTGATTCACTCTTTTCATCCCATGAATGAAAGGTACACAAAAATAAAAGAAGAAAAAGGTAGCCCTCCTCGAATTCTACCTGGATCCTTAGGGCCTCAGATGAATGGTCACATGGCAACTGTAAGCCGTAGGGAAGGAAAAGGAAAAAGTACACAAGAAAACAGAAAA